CGAGGAACTGAAGCTTCGCCAGGAGGGGACGAGCAAGAAGCCACTGGATGAGAACAGTGCAACACACCTGCTTCGACATGCACTGGGCGGCTCCGGTAGCATTGCAACACAGTACCTGCGACTCATCGAACTGCTTCAGCTGCCCCCTCATGTAGCAAGGAGATACCGCGATGATATCACAATCATTGTCGTGCATTTTGACCAGAAGTACCTCGAAGCTTTTCAGGAAGCTGCTGGACCTTCACAGGCTTGAACCTCATCGTTTCCTGTGATGAGATGTTGTGTTTTGTCGCTCATCTTCAAAGAAATTTGGCCGTAGTTCCCCCCTCCCCGTCAATAGGTATTCGATCAGCTTATGCGCAAAGCTAGTATGTGGAATCCCCCATGAAAATCGTCCTGTTTTAGAACTATTTCCTCGTACTGTGAAGCTGGCATAATCCTAGTATTTTTTCAACTCGCAGTTTTGCCAAATATGTTATAATTTGTCAGATTCATATGTTCTTTAAGAAATTTCATGGGTTTTTGAAGTGGAAAAGCCCAAAAAAATCCATGTGAGCCTTAGGAATCAGAAGAACCGTGTAGATGGAAAGTAGTTGAAGAGGCAAGTCAGTCCTCGAACCTCAAATAAATCCTAATTTTCAGAAAATAAATTGAATTTTCATAGCCGGAAATTATTGTCGTAATGAACAGAATTTCTAAAAATGGCCTTCCGTTGCCTTGTTCGAGAACCTCTTTCTTATCCGGATAGTTTTTTAGCTGGGTTTAAAATGATTCGGGTCAACTTGCCACCAAAATGTGTTTTCCAGTTCCTGTGTTTGTATTAGTTTGCGATTTTTTTTTTTAAATTTTCAGCGTTCTAGAGAATACAGATTGTAGTGTTTTACGTTGTAGTAAATTTGTTAATTGAATAGTGTTGCTAATTATCGTCGTTGTTTTCGTTGCCGTCGTTTTTGCTTTTTTTGCACGCTTTTTTTTGTTTTTTTTTGTTTTTCTTTCTTGCTTTTTTTGCTTTTCAATGTTTTTTTTTGCACGCTAAAACCGTTCAGATATTCGTTGTGGGGATCCCGTGAAAGTGATATTACTGAGAAGTTCCCCTATGCCAGGATAAAGCTGTACCCAACCTTTCTAGCCTGTGCTGCACACCTTCATCGCCTGTTCGATGTATGTGCGCCACCTGTTGGAAGAGGTCACTTGAATGGTCGCTTACTTTCTCGCGGGTACCACTCATTAGCAAGCAAAATCCATCATTTATTGTCAAAAAGTTACAAAAATTGTCCGCCTATCAAAAAGTGTTATTCCGCTCACTACCTGTTTAGTATGTGACAAAAAAAAACCTGATCTTCATCGATAATAAGTAGTCTAAAAACCAATATTTGTTTCCCGTAAATTTCCCGGGTATTTAAGCAGAAACGGAATGCACGTACTGCACCCTGAAAAACTTGAAAAGCTGGTCAGAGGTCAAATCGACCCTCAATGCTTTTTCTTCATCTTTCTCTCGTTCGACCTATTTTCACTTAGATTTCACTTCTATCGAGGCACAGAAGCACTTGAACGGTAGCGGGTGTAGTAACTAGGAATAAAATAAGTGTTGGTGCTGCTTTCTTTTGCTTTAGCTATTCTCAGTCGTTCATAGATTTTAGTAACGAAGCAGGTTTTGAAAAGACAAATAGGCGAAATAGGGTTTTCGAAATATGCAAAATGTGCCAATGTTTATATGGTTGCTATGATCGAAGCTCCTTTACGTGGTGATTAGTCCATACGTAAGCCTGTGTTCGTTTCTCCTGGATATTTATTTGTAAATCACAAACGTGCTATGCGACACAGTGAGATTTTGCATCTTCATTGTTGTTTATGGTACCTGGAATTTTGCAATCTCTTTCTGCAATTGGTGCTTTATTAAGCTAGCAGCAATTTTTTTTTTT